TGTCCAATTTTTGGAGTAGGGAGTATTTATGAGTCAGCTTTTCCACATCTTCTGGAGCCACTCAGTAAGTGTGGGTACATAGGTTGATTTCCACACTGCTGCTGTTGTTGTTCAGGTTTTCTGTGATTCTGTACTCATAATTGAAAGCCATGTGCCTTGAGAACAGGGGGAAGACAATGAACCAAAGATCAGGCACACATGCCATAACCCACAATATTTTTCAAGGTTTTTTCTGCTGATTTTTTCCCTGTCAAATTGCATGCTGAAGTGTGCCATTGACTTTTTTTGCGGATAGCGTAGTCTCTGGTCTTAGTAAACCAGCTCCTTAGGGACTCAGGTTTACTCAAAATACAAGGCAGATGCTACTATGGTAGCCAAATATACTGTCTCAAAGAAGTAGCAAATAAACACGTCCCATTTGTCTTCAGGTTAATTTGGAAGATGAGGTTATACAGCAGAAAACACATCAAGCCCTACTACAGGCTCTCGGGAAAGTTATGTTACATTAACCCAACTCTGCAGCTCTGGAACTTGAGAGCAGCAACAGAAATGGCCAAGTAGCTTCCAGCTGAGTTTTATACAGCAGCTTGTTTTAATAAAGCATTGTTCTCTGTTATATTGAGGGTCCTAGGGCTGTAAGCAGCACAAAATCAAAAAAAAGCCTATGGAAAGTTTAAGCCTCAAGCAGAATAAGCATATTTATTAGTGTGAAAATTTACCAACAGTGTTTTCAAAGGCACTTAAAATGGAAATCTGCATGTCTCGTGCTGAAGCATCACAAATGAAGTAAAATACCAAACAACTTTTCAGTCTGACTAAGCCTCTTCTTTTTCCACCTCCTAGCCCATCTCTGAGGATAGCACTGAATGAGTTTTATTTTAGTCTGCTGGGAGGTGCAAGGTTAAGGACATGTGAAAAAGATGTGATTTGAGTATCTTTATAAGAGAAAAGACCATACACATAATTTCTTCTGTATTTCCACAAGCAACATGCAGGGAAAGTTTAAAACCAACTTCAAAAATCTTCTGGAAGTATCCACATGCTGGAAAGATTGAAACCATCTGAGATGTGGGTGTTGCCATAAGTCAAGGACACTTCTGAACACATGTAATGGCTACTCTCATTAGCCTTGATGAGATGAAGTGTATCTGAGAAGTTTGGGGTAGCAAGTCCTATCACAGTGGCATGTGTGTTGCACAGATGAGATCTGCCATAAACAGTTCGGTTTTGTGAAAGGCATGTTTTATAACCCTTTGGCTTTAGACCAAATGATAACGGATTCCAGTCTAGGTGACTGTGGTGGCTCAGACACATTTACAACATTGGCTTACCCTGTACATCACGTGTTCATTTTTCCATTCTCCATGTCCTTTGCTACAGGACATAAGAGGTTGATACCCTCAGTTCCTTCCAGTCTCATTTAGTCTGAATTTACAGCTGCAGTAGAACAATCCGGTTGGTGTCTTGTTTTCAAGATGCACCGTCTTATCTACCTATCTGCACTTTTTTCAACAGCAAAAGGTCTTCCTCACCCTGTGCAAGTATCTTCGTGCACTGGTAATCATTAACATTTTTAAGCCTACCTGCCACTTCCCTCCCCAGACTAACTACTGAAATGACAGCATGACTACTCTGCAGAGAAGCCACACAGAGCTGCAAGATATGCTGATTACAGGAGGTGCATCTCCCAAAGCGTGGTCTTTGACAAAGCACTGCCGTCTGCACTGTATCGTAATGACTGTTCTCTCATTGGTGCCTCAAAGCATTTGGGTTCCCATGTCAGATATGAAAATGAATAGCCATTTCTTCTCCAGGGTAGATGCAATGCTAGAATTGCCTGAATAGTATATTGTAGCCACCCTAGCCCAATCTGGGGCCTCCCATTGGATTTTATGAACAGAAAAGGGTTGGGTCTGGCTGATAATTTGGGAAAGAGATGAGAGGGGAAACCCTCAGCACGGCAGGAACTGATGTTACTGAAACAATAGCTGGAACTCTGACTCATTGCTGGAGCAATGTCCAAACGAGCATCAGAGGACATGCTGTACTGCAGAAAGAGCCAGCTTCTGTATAAGCTGCACACCAGGAGACCAGAAAAATGCTTAATTTTGAAAAAGTTAAAAATCCATCTACACATTTTTCAAGAGTGAGATCAATATCTCTCAGGTGGTTTTAGATTTGCTAAATACATTTTGCCAGACTCCAGCAATTTTAACTGGATTTTAGCATGTCCTTTGCTTTTCTGCTTTCTACAGTGGTAGGGTAATGCACCTTAAACAGTATTAACAAGTATTCACTGTATTCACTGGCAATATAGCAAATGAGTGCTTTAAAAGTATTTCCTGACTTAAGCCTTATGATCATGCAGAAAGTTTTAAAAGTCTGGTAAGATGAGTTCAAGAGGTCTTGGATTTGTTAAAATGCCATAAAGGAATGCTCTGTTTGGGGCAGGCAGACAGTCTGATTATGTGCCTAGTATGATCACAAAGCCAGGAGGAAAATAGAGAAAAAACTGAGCTCACCTGCCTGCCTAAGGCCAACCTTTTTGTTTCTTAATGCAGCTCTGCTCTCACTATCTGAATGAAATCATACTTGGAGAAAGCATGTCCTTTAGCTCAGAGCTGCAGTCACAAGACTGCCTTTTCGTTCCTGCTACAGAGGGTTTTGCATTTCAGGCGTTGATGAAATGATTCCTACGTAAGGTAAACAGGACTCAGTTCAGCTAAATAGAATAGATTTCTCCAAGACTTCAAGTGAAAATTAAGAACTGCAAAGCAGTTTAGGCAAAAAGCTCAGTTTCAGGGGAAGATATTATTCACTGCAGATTTTTAAGAATGAAAACATCAGCTGAGTCAAACTATCTCAAAGACAGAATATTTTATGTATGAACAGCTTAATAAATGGAAAAATGTGTAAATCTGCTCCTTCTAGAGCATTATAAAATGACATTACATAGGAGATTGATTTCCAGAGCTCCCAGGAGAATGCTCTCTGATACACGTCTAAGCACCATTAACACTGTTACCAGGGGGACAATATACATGTCAGTATAAAGTACATGATCAGAACCTTCTGAATTACAGCTCCTTAATTAGTGTCCCTGTGTCAATTATCCCATTCAGGATGTCAAATATTTCATGAGGATTAAATTTCAAAACACAGTCTCTCTGATATATAAAATCCCAAATGGCTGTTCAAACATATATCAATGTTATTATATCACATACAGCAGGTAAAAGATGAAACAGTCTTCCACATAGCTCTATGATTTTAAAGCTACCATGATTTTGATACCACTTAATTTGGCTCTGCAGTTGCATCCATATTTTTTTACTTGTGGGGATACTCACTGTACTAAACAAGAGGAAAAAAAAAGATTCAGGTTTTCAACCTAAAAAGGATTCAGGTTTTCCTTTCCAAAATAGTGCCAATATTGTAATGCAATACCCAAACTGAACCTCTCTGGTCCCTGAATCCAAAACTAAAGGGCAGAGGAGAGAAGGAGAGGAAGAAGAAAGGGGCTCTACAATGCCAGCATCTGAGAATTTGCACATTTTTCACTGCCAGGGAGTAAGGAACGTGCATGCACACAGATGGGATGTAAGCAAATCCAGTTAGAAGTGTTTGGGCTTTCAGATTAAATCAAATTTCCTCTAAGAAATATGGGTTTCTTGGTATATATTAATATTTAAGTTATAAAACAAACTTGGCCTTCATCTATTAGAGCAAGTAGATCTCTAGGTGAGCAAAATAATGCTGCACATATTCAACAGGACAGAGGCACACACCTAAATTAAAATCTCTCTGTAGTTCTCAAACTGAGATATTTCCAGAATGAAGATGAACTTGTGAATCAAGATATGGATTATTTTACACCGCGGACAGCTTTAATGTCTCACAAATTAAAATCTTTTAAAGTTTAATGTTTGGTTTAACTTGTTAACCTTTCCCTGCCGCTTTTCCACAGATGTCTCAATCAAAAAGTGGTTACATAAAAACACCCTAATGAGCAAATTTACTGACTGAAACCAGGACAAAGAATCTTAATTGACTATTCAAGCAAATGCACAGAAAGCAACTTTTGAGGTTATAATTGTAAATATTGTGTCAGAAACTCAGCCCTCAGAATGACACTCGTCTCTTTGAGATAGAAGCAAGTACTAGCAAGCCTAATCTGCTCAAATTTTGTCATTAGACCACACAATAGACTACTCTTGAACAAGCAACAACCTAGAAACTAGTCCCAGAAATAATTAAGGAAATAATTTAAAATATCAAAGGAAAGAGGATCATGTTTGTCTGCAAAGAGGCAAAATATAGCAAATAAGTTGTGTATTACAAACAAATATCCCAGTCAAGGGTTTCTTGTACTTCATTTGTGCTGTAATAGAGTGAACTAAAATAAGAGATTAGAAAGTGCCAAATATTATGAATACAAAGCTCTAAACTATAGCATCTTTTAAGATCTCAGACCAGACTTTAGAAGGAGGGGAAAGAAATAAAAAAAAAACAAACCACCACACAAAAAAACCCCCAGAAAAATCTAAATTATACCAAAATGCCTAGAAGAGCTTTACACATCTATAAACTACATTTTACCAAGTAATTTCAAGGATATTTCAAAGTCCTGACATTAAGCTCCTGCCCTCACTGCTTTCTGTAAGCAGGAACTCCCTTTATCCCACCCCTGTGGGACCTGTGAACTGTGAAGACAGGGAATCTTTTTAGACATACACAGAACAAAAAGTGCAGTGTGGTTCCTCCCTATGCTCTCATCCCAAAGCGGACCCTGAACACAACTCCAATACAAATAATATCAACTACCATTGACAACAAAGTATTTTCCCATTAAAATGGATCCCTTGTCCAAATTACATTTTTCTTACATTTGCTATTTTATACCAACTCTATTAATAAAAGGCAGTTATCATTTTCATCCTGTACTATCCATTTTAGCAGTGCCTAAATTCACCAATTCATCAGCATACCTTACTCTTTAATAAGCCAAGGTCAAACTAATTTCCTCCTCCTAGTGCTCTCTCCCCCACAACTTCTTCACGTGTTTCAGCTTTACTTTGAAGTGACTTCCTTGCCTGGCATGCTAAAATCCAGAAACAGAGTGCCTATCATTATGACTGCAGTTCATGCCCTGACTAGTCACAGCAGAAGGAGAATTAGACTATAATCTCCTAAACAATGTAGAATCTGTAAATCAAAACCAACCAGCTCTTTTTGGCATGTAGATCAATGAGCCACTGTGAGGGTATGAAAATCCAAGCAACTCTTCTAAGATAAAGTCGACCTCAGTGTATGAATTTGTTTAGTTTGAATTTTTTTTTCTCCTCTGCACTTTATCTCCCCAAAACAAGTCTTCAGAAAATAGTTTTTATTGCATTCTGAAAGACAGTAGCTTCTGCTGGACCAGATAGCAAAACAGGCACATACAAACTTAAGCTTAGAATACAGGCAGTACAGAGATTCAAAACAACCTACCTTCAGTACTACCCCACTTAGCTCTCTTGATGGTAAGGATGTTTGCATTTCTTTGCTCTAAATATAAAAACAAACAACAGTGGCTGTTCTAATCAAAGGAGTATTAACATGTTGCCAAAAAATTTACAATGCATTAAAACATTTATACAAATCTAGAGTCACTGAAGAAACACAAACTACCCATAGCCATTTACAGAAAATATCTAGAGAGTGAGAGGAATGGACTTGTGCCTGATAGAGAGAGTAACATACAGCTTCTTGGCATGGAACAATAATTTCCACAACACAGTGCATGATGGGTTTCTACTTGCAGAAGTGAAGCCCTATCATGCTGACTGATATGTCATCATGCACACAATTTAACCGGGATAGGCCAAGTCCCACTGGAGTTCACTGACACTTTGTATTGTAATTTACTTAAAACCTCACAGGTGTACATGGAGCTCTCTTCGAGTAACACAGGTGAGCCTAAATATAACTCCCCAAATAAGTGTCCATGGGACCAAATTTTTCCTTATCTCTTCTAGTGAAAAATGTCAAATCAAAGGCTTGTGGGAAAGTGTTTTCAAGTAAAATTTTTTCTCTCTAGTTCTCTTTGGCTTCTCAGCTTTGTTGTCTGCTAGGTTCATCATGTTTTCTGGGTTTTGTTCCTTAGAGGCTGCAATGCTCTGGGAAGGGAGAGGGTGACAGAGGCCGATCTGCTGACCACATACACCCAATATGTGCTTCCTAAGTCTTCCTCTTAGTAACATTTCCAAAATGGAAATTCAACAACTACCATAAACAAAAAAAAAAAAAAATCTGTAATCCTAACTCCTCTTTCAACTCAATTTTTCATGCCAATGTGGACCAGTGTGGAAAGAGAGGGCCTCCAGAGTATCAGCTTTAGTAGATGGGGACACACAGGATAGCGTGAAACAGTTGGAAGGCCAGGTTTAAACATGTAACCTGAAACACTGGAAACTAGAACTCACAGCGGGTCTTAGCAACAAAATCAACAATATAGGCAGCGCATGACATGTGATCACCAAAGCAGAAGCAAGGTTGCTTAAATATAGCCCCTGTAGGTATTAGAATATTTCTGAGAAGTACACATCAAGCATGAGACAGATGCTACTAATAAGTAGAGCTTTAGACATTTATTTTTGCATTTAAATATCCAGCTATATTTATCTGAAAGACTTAACCATACCATTCTTGAGAGAAAGGTATGCCAGTTACTTACTGCTGTCTAGACAAAAAGATTTAAAACTGGAAAAGATAAAACCTTTGTAAAGGAACATGGAAAAGTGCTTTAAGAATCCATGAGAATCTCTGCACTTGAGTCCCCAGAGCTCTGGCTTTAAGAGATTTGTCTGTTCAGGAATTTAGTATATTCGTTATTTCATAAACAGTTTCCTAATGCTTGTTCTTGAACCTAAATTGTTTGAGTTTGGGGGCAGAGGTTAGTAAGTTACGAAAACTCTAGAAAGCTGGGGAAATCAATCAGTCTTACAGGCAGGAGTGATGTCTGATGATCATCTGACACTTTTGAAGTTGTGGCCATGGTGTGGTGAACCACTTCAAACTAGGATATAAAGATATGAATCATCTACAGTGAGTAAACTGTCCCACTTCCAAATTTCCTGAGAAAAAAAAAGAAACAGACTATCTGGACACTCATCCTAAGTGTTTGGACAGCTTTAAATGATCCTGTGATCTCAGTGAAGAAATTATTCTTGAAATGAGTTACATGTTTCACCTCTATTTATAGCATAACCATAAACCAGACCTGCTAAACAGAGGTTTCCCAATCTCTGCTACAGATATTTGGTACCATGTGGTACATAAAGCTGGAAGGAAACAGCATACAAAAGAGTTACCACAGACTTCAAGGAGCAGAAAGGTATGAAGAATGTCACAAGCTTCTCTAAATATTCAGAAACTGATGTATTTTTTGGATAGTGGAAATATTTCTCCACCACTACACCCTCTAAGCATTTAATCACCAGCCTAAACAATAACAGACTGAGAGCAGTGTTCAAGTAACACTTCAGAACTTCAGGTCCCTATCAAAAGAGAGAGCTCCAGATAGACACAGGAATGAAATTGATGCAATTCATTCCTTGGTCACCCCATTTGCAGTGCATAAAATATGATCTGGAGGAATAACCAAAGACAAAGTCCAGGTTATAAAAAGTCAGTGCACTGGCTTTACAGAACTCATTCTCCCATTCTGCTGGGTATGATGTTGAAGTTCAGGCCATGGACACAGTGCACAGCAGTGCACAGAACACAGTGTTCTGCATGGGTCTCTTTCAACCACGAGCTCCTGAGAGAGCTGCAGTCCAAAACAGCAGGAGTATACATAAAGGTGGCATGAGTCAGACACCTTTCTTTTCCCAAAGCTTTCCATGGGCAATTGCGTAAGAATTAATTTTACTGAATACTCACCCTTATTCCCTAATTAGATCAAATAACTTCAGAAGTTACAATTAATTTCATTATACTTATAATAGTGATCTTTAAATATTTCCTGGTATAAATCAATATAAGTTTATCAAAAAAATTCACACAGCAAGAATGCTAAGCAGTAACTTCACCAAACCTAGTTCTTGTACACAGGGAAATATTGCTCATTTTGACTAGGAATTTTTCCAATGACTCATTGGATCTCCTCATGGAACTGGCTGCTATTTGAGATAAGCAAAGTTGCAAAACCTACTCCTATCTTTATATAAAATTATAAGAAGCAGAGCTGGAAAGGACTTTAAAAGGTCATCTAGACTGTTCTCAAGGCAGAATCAATATTCATGTCACTTGCTACATATATATGTTCTTAATGATTGTGACTTCACCACCTCTCCAGGCTTACCTATGTTTACTCTTAGAAAGATTTTCCTAACAACTATTCTAACTCTCCCCCGGTGTAATTTAGTTTGTTGTTTCTTTTTAAGTCTGTCGTGAACAAAAAGGACATATTACCTCTTTTCACAACAGAATGGTTCTTTTACATCTTAATTATTGCCCTGACCCTTCCATCTTCTTTTTTGAGTGCTTAATAACTTCAATTTTTCAAGTTCTCCTTGGCTGCACTGCTCCAAGCTGAGACCTTACCAGTATAAATTCCTAGAAGATTACTTCTGCAGGCTACATTCTGGTTTTCATATACATACTAGTTGGTCACTTAGCTTTTTAATAATTCATCAACTCATGCTTAATTTGATTCACATTCCCAGATCTTTTCCAGAGAACTGCTGTCTATTGTGTTACCCCATCTTGTATCTGTGCAGATTATTTCTGCCTAACACTTTGCATTTTTCCCTATTGAACTTAATCCTATTTTTTTCAGATGATCTCTCCAATTTGTCAAGATCATTTGGGATTCTAATTCTGCTTTCCACATGTTCAGAAACCTCCATCTCCTGTCATATGCAAATTTACTACATATAATATTATTCTTTCATTCAGATAATTCATGAGAATATTTAACTATATTTAATTGACAATAACTCCCTGTAGAAACTTCTCAGTATATATTTCAATTAAACAATATAATTAGGTCATTATTATCTATTTTCACTTTTAATTCAGCTTTGCATCTACTCACAAGACTTCATTTCCTTAGCTTTCTGATTAGGGAACCATTCAAAAGAGTCCCAAAACGTAAGTAACATAAGATCTGGAGACTTAGTCTGTCCTCTCTACCAGTGGATCTGTTACCTCATCATAGGAGGAATTCAGTTTGCTCTTAACAAATTATTAGATATTCCCTCTCTCCATGCTGTGTTGTAGCGCTTATGAATGATTAGAAAGTTTATTGCACAATATTTTCAGAGAGATTTTGGTGATTTTGTCATTGAGCATGAACTGACAATCAAGTATCAGCATGCAATATCATGCCAATTAATTTTAACCAAAAATCAAAAGGACTTTTGAATTCTTTGTCAGCAAAACATTCTTCAAATATTCACTATTATAGGGGCAGCATCTGTAAGAGGTCTTGAGTACATATAGAACCATGCACCTCATATAAAAGATGTATCTCATTGATCAGCATAGTAGAAACATCCCCCTATGCTGATTTATGTCTCAATGCAGCATTGATTGGAATAAAGGCACCCATAAAATATAAAGATACCATGTGGTCGTGAATCAGTTATGCTCATTCGGATCACACTCAAAGCACTTATGTCATATTGTTGACTCTTCAACCACCTGCTCTTGACAAGGAGGTCTGGCACACAGTCCTTGAAGCATTCTTGATTTGCTTCAGTCATGCTCTGTTCTGATTATAAAATAAATTGACATCATTTTCATATTAGTATCTTTTGAATAGTTAGCCCTATCTGTACGTATGCATAAATGAGATGGAAAAGGAGCAGAAGATACACGGTTTCTTTGGATGAATAAGTTTTTTGCATTAGTCAGATGATATAGACTATCTAAACACACATCTGCCAAATTAACATTGGGTTAAAAATGAAGCGGCACAACATCCCTGATCAGATTTACTACTAAAATAGATGATCTACTTTTCATCTGATGTCAAGTCATGTGGAAGACCAGGAGGCATTCAAATGTAAGAATCCAATAGAATCACCCTTGGAAATAAAGATGTTTTATTATTAGACTTTATGCAAAATAAAATACAAATGCACATTATATATAAACAACTCTGTACATAATTAAAATAAAACCCCTGCTAATCCTAGCAATGGTCTCCATAGTCATCCTGTGTCTAGGTGTGGAGTTTGTCTGCATTAATAGGAGGGGAAAAAAATGTAAAAAAGAACTGTTCATACTGAATCACATGAGAATATAAATCCATTTGTAGATCAGTATTCCCAGGATCTATTGTATTTGATCAAGAGCATTATTGAAGTTTTATGTTCACAGATGATCTCGTGCAAAACATATTGCTGGAAGAGCATCTTCACTTTTGAAAGGATGCTTAAAAAACAGTTGGAAAGTAGAATTTCACGAGTTGTTTAGGGGAAAATTTTCCCTTTAGTAATCTCATTTAAAATTGAGTTATTCCAGATTTATATTAAATAGTGCGAATAAAAAAAATATTGTCTTTCATAAATAACACATAAGGCTCTTGCTGGCCTTTCACTTCCGGTGTTACCTTTGTTGTCTCTGCAAGGAATTGGATAATTACGGGGTTCTCTACTTGCAAATTTATCCAGAGTCTCAGTTGCTAGATTTCCTTCACCCAACAATCTCATTCATTCAGGTTTAAAAATACTTTATGTAAAAATATAACATATTCTTCATGAATTTGCAGCAACAGGAAAAAATAAAAAAGAGTAAATGTACTTGAGACTGACATTTGAGACCAAACACATTCACCTGCGAGACTGTCTTATTGGACACGTAAGAATTTCAAAATTCAATAAATATGGACCAGGAGACAGTAAATGTCTCAAACCACAAATCAAATCTACTGAAGTCTTAAAGAAATGTTCAAGTTACACGTGGCCTTCAGGACTGTCAGTTGGTCCATTCCAGAACAAGAGGAGTAGTGCTGTCAGGAGCAGTGATGGTACAGAAGGAAAATAATCTCAGTACAATTACCAGTTCTGAGGACAAGAGACAAATATCTTTCCGTGTAGCTATGATTAATCAGTATTAATACAGCTGGTATTCTATTCTAATAAGATTTAGCTAATAACAAAACTAGAATTTTGTAACCAGGTCATTTATTACCATCCCTTCATTCTTTTTAGCCTATTACTGACTAACTTTAAAAGGATGAGATGCCATGGTCTGTGTGAACTTTGAAGATGCCATCCTACTAAACAATAAGTGGAAAAGATTTGACAAATAAGAAAATCACATACCTGCTTCTCACTAAGTAACTGTCTACAGCTACATGGAGCAGGGCAACTGCTTTTTTCCCTCACCCCCACCCCACATCAAACCTATCCTTAAGGCAATTTCCTGACACGGCACTTTCAGCTAATGGGAAAGTATATTATAGGACACAGAGAGAACCTATAAATGGTAACAAGGCTAAACTCCCCAGCTCTGGACCCCCATAACCTGTTGTTAATCTAGTCACTGAGGAAATGGTGGTATGATGATAATTACTTCTCAGTTCCTCCAAAGGAAGTGCTGCATGGTATACTTTAAATAGAAGGAAAGAATACTGTCTTTTTAGTATTTTTATCATGCATTGTTAATCCACTGCATTCCTGTGGTGCATTCCACTGTGACGAAGCCAAGGGTACTGTCTACCTGATGAATCTTAGATGGGCAGCAATTTATAGCCTGTGACTGATAAAATTTATCCCACTATAGGTACCACTGATCCTGCTATATTCCAAGTTCTTGTAACAAGAAAAAAACACACCTGTCAGACCAGAACTACAAAGAACCTTCCAAGAGATGAAATGAGGCTCTTTCCATTGATTTCAGTGGGCAGTAGGGAAGGATGTAGGCTTTACTAAACAGCAAAATTTCAAAAATGCTTGTTCCTGAAAAATACCCGCTCATCAATAGGAGAAAATTCCAAGAGGTTCACCAAGAGTAGAAAAGGAAGACTTACATAAAAGGGAATTAGACTTTATAAATATCTTTCTTTTAAAATGAAATAAAATATTAAATATATAGACAAAGGAACTGTTAATATAGGTCAGGATAGGCCTATATTAACTAGGATGCATAATTCAAATACAGCCAGCAGTCACAGTGTCAGAAATGCACTAAACTCAAGTCTTGTGTGTTTTTGTCCAATATAGAATGGATTCATGCTGTGAAAGGGTCATACAAGTCTTGAGAAACAACAAACCATGGTGCAACGAGGAGGCTGTTATGCTCTGGTTTCTCCATGTTCCCTAAACTGTTCAAATCTGGCTATAGTGAGAGCATGGCATGGTGTGTCAGAAGACTAGAGAAGCTTTACTTCACAGCAGCAGTGGAAGATTTTATTGCCTTCAGTGCATATGTGGTTAGTAAGCACAAATCCCTTTGCACACTGCTCTATGAAGACACCTGCAAACAATGAAGTGAAAACAATACAAGGATCCCCAGGTCACAAAGGGCATGCAGATGCCTATGGTTTGCCTGCCTGCCTTCCAGTACGGTAACCCAAGTCCTCACCGTGCTGAGTCTCTGACTCATGTCTAGAATCTTTTGTTCATTTTGGAAGATTATGCCTCTCCCTTAGCCAAACTTCTTCAAGCATCTTTAGTCCAGAGGGTGAACTGCGAATCCTGGAAGATCAAAGTTCCCCTTAAGATTTGAGTAGCTTATTTCTTCCTGTGAGTCAAAACAATGGAAAGCAGATCATTCCTCTTTTTGCTCCTGTAAATTTGTTTCTTCCCATGGAGACAGATGAGGTGGCAGCAGATGGAATTAGACAGTCAAACGTTTTGAATGTGTCTTGTGCAGCCCACTGCACTCTCAGGAATCCAGAGCAGCTAGTCTTGTAAGGGAAATGAGCACATCCTTGAAAATCAAATACCTGGCATCAGATGTGCAGTTTAAGCGTTATTTCCAGCCTTAATAAACTAATCTAGAAAACAGCTTGCTTTCCCAAACTTGCTGCTTCTCTCAGTCTTTTCCACTGAATAGTTGTAACAAGTAGTGGGGACATAATTGTGGATTCATCATAAATTTGGGAGACAGGAATTTCGAAACCCAAAATTTTAATACTGGTAGTTGACACTGTGTATTTTTATACAAAGTATTTAGTCTCACTATGTCTTACAATTCTACAAACATCATATACTGTATTAAAAATAATAGAAAGACACTGTGCCTAGGAGGTTGCCTGCAGGTGGTTATCACGTGAGCAGTAGACACATTATTGAAGCAATTCCTTCTTGCACATCTATGCCAGAACAACAATGATTAGAATATTTAGATTCTTTTGTTCACTAAAAACCTCTGAGGTATCCATCTCTCCAGCTGCTGGCCTTTAGTGAAGATGAGTTACTGTCTTCTAAAACTTTTATGGGCTACAAGCTGACTTTCAGGACAAATAGTTCCTTTTTCAGGTCAGAACCAAAACCTGTTGCATTAAATTATATTTGCTGTTGCCATGACAACATGCTTTCTTTGCTCACACTTCATTTTGCACTCTGAATGGCATGCCTAATAAAAAATCAGGACTTTCCGTTTTAGCCATCTCAAATGTACATCTGGACTCCATCCCAGACTGTTGGTTCCTTTAGGAAATATTCTAACTCCAGTTAAAAATACAGTTCTTAACCATTTAAAGGTGGCTAGCCATAGTCTCCCAGCAGGACTGAATTTCAACACAAAGCACTTTGATAGAGAACTAATATTCATATTTGCTGTTATTATGAAGTTTGGTGGATCTGTAGGGCAGAACATTAAGTTATTTTTCATCATGCAGAGCGCCTATGAAAACTTTAGGAAAAAATGTGGAAAAAAAAGAAATAAGCCTACATCTACCAAAGAATCTAAAGAAAAAGATGAGCTATGTAGAAAGTGCGGATGCTCTGGGGATACATGGCTTCCATGTAAAAATGTCTGAAATTTGCCTTGGATGACATTTTAAAAAGTTATCCAGCTAATCTTCAACATGTTACCAGGACAGTCTGGGACAGTGTCTTACTGCAAACACAGTTCTTGGTTCTTCTGTTTCCGCTTCATACTTGGTATAGGGAGCAGGGCTGAGTCACAGAAATGCTGCCCAGAGCATTCCAGTGGGCAGGGGAGGCACTTTGCTTTGTCCCCCATCAAGCTTTACCCTAACTGAAGAAAACAAAGAGCAGGTTTTGAAGACACTGTAAACTTTACCCTCACAGCTGGAGGCAGAGTGAATCAGTGGCAGCTAGCAATAAGGGACAGGCGAGAAGAAAACAAAAAGTGATGGAGAGAGACAGCCGCAGCACAAAGAGTTCATTCTGTGCCTCTGTTAAGAAGTCTGAAAGTCCCCTACTGGGGAAAGGTAATCATTAAAATGTTCATTAGAAAGAATATTACCCTGAGCATTCATTATTTATTGCAAGTCTTTATAAGCCATTACTCCTTAGATGTATTCCAATAAGTCCCCACGTACTCCTTGTCCTGCTGCAGTCTGTTAGCAGACCAAACATCTCACAGCAAGTGCCAATGATGCTCTATGGAAGTAGGACTTTTGGTTTACAAGGAGGTTTCTTTAACATGCACAGCTAGGATTTGAGCTTTTGTTGCTGAATCCACAGAGTATTTAATTTTAGATTATCAGAAGGAAACAGTTATAACAATCAAAAATAGAGCCAAATTTACTCTACATAGTTTGTTCAGCAGTGCCAGTGGTTTTAAGAAGGACAAAATCATATTGGAAGTGCTGGTCATGCACACAGTACCCATCCCACTTCTCTAGCTATGTGTCTGCATTAGCTTCTTGACCCCATAATATGAAATCCTCTACACTGATTTACCTCTAGTGTTTGGTTGCTTTGCTTTATCTTCTCCAGAATTTACCTGTAACACAGGTCTTTTTTCATCATTTGAAATACAGAGTAGGTTGAGAATATAAAAACTACATATTAAAGTTATGCACTTCTACATGCACAGCATGAAAGGCAAACACAAAAGATTGCCAGGAGACTTGGCATGTACCCCTACTTTCTCATTGCTTACTGGAAGTAGATGCCAACTGCATACAAAATTTCCTTTGGTATATTGGTTTGTGTGGTTTTTAAGACAAACTCACAACCAAACATTCCCCCCATATCCACCCAGATCCTACTGTAGGGCACATGGCCTGCTGGAGCATGACTTTATCAAAGATTCACAGCACACCCTCCTCCTGCTCAAGTACATGTCACTGAGGTGCCATAATTCTCAGTTTAGCATTAGGTACAGGTCCAGGGTTGTATCCATGATGATTCTCCAGCCTCAGTATATAATCACAGGTCTGCCACACTGCTGCAGCTAAGTCTGCCATTAGCTGATGCAGACTCCCATATACAGCAAATGCTGCCAGAGCGCACGAGAAAAATGTAACACACAGGCCTGTGAAATAGAACACGAACAGCGTTAGAAATTTCTCAGCCCTGTTTATTATGTCACCATGCAGTTTCAGAAATATTGCTACTCGTTGGCGCTCATTTGAATGAAGACTCAGAGTCAAGGTAACTCAGAGGTGACAAATAACTTTATATTCTCTAATGAAGAAATACAGAACTTTCCAAAGACTTTTAAATTGGTCATACCATCACATGTGACACGCACATTAAGTTCAGTTGAATCACTTACTAGACTCTACAAACAGACTACCTCAACTATAAAGACATTAGAAGAGCAGCAAACTGCTTTGTGAAATTAAATCCACAGTGCACCTGAATTTAAAGCTCTTGTTACAAAATCCCTATGTATCTGGATCTTCCTAAATTAAGACATCCAATATAAGAGGGACAATAGTTCATAAATCAAATCTTCTCTACTGATCTAATTCTCTTGTTTTCCTAGAAGTATTCCTGCACTTTGGAACTCTTTTAATTATGGGAATGATAACCAGGCTGGCCAAACACATCAAGTAGCCTTAACGATACGCAATACAAAAGCAATAAACAAAATGTTAAATTCTACTTTCATTCTTGACCTGCAAACAGAGCATTAAACTTAACAATGATTCTTTTCAAAGCCTTCTCAGTTCCCTATTTTATAAAGCCATTGTGCAACACGGTTAACACCAAGTAAATACTGATATGGTAAGATATATTTCCACATATTCAGTCACAATATTAGTACAGGGAACAAAGAAAAGATGTGCCAAAGTATGGAATGATGAGACACATTCATAGTAAGTTGTCGGTATGTTCTTCCTTTACCCACGTGCTACATGGTAGATTCTGAAGACACTTTTTCTCAAATTGCTTTGGGAAGAAAATTGAGTAGTTTACAACCATACTGCTTTACTCAAGGTGTCTTGTGCTTGGGCACATTTAGTCATAACTGTCAATTTGACAAAATTCATTATTTTCCTTGAAATGAACTACTTTCAACTCTGCAGAATACAGTTTTTTACTGTTTTTCCTTTTACAGCACTGAACATGAGCACAATGTACTAGGTACACAAACAAAAACAATTGCAATTACCTGTCAATATGACATCAATTAAGACAAAGTAAAATTTATTTTCACTTTAATTATAGAATTGTGTTTTTAAGCTGTAGCTTGTGGGGGTGGAGGGAACAAGTTGGGAGTGTTGACTCTTTCTTATAGAAGGAATTACTCTAAAGATGGTTTCCTAGTTTCCTTTTTAATGAATGTGTACCTTATAAAAGACAGAAATTCTATTCTTTTTCACATTCAAAATGGTTGAAGATTTAGTCTGGGTTAAGAGTTATAAAAATATCAAACCCAACAGACTGGACAAAAAGAGAATACTTTCCATTATTTCATCTTCATCATCTGACAGGAAATAATTCCTTTAAGATACCTAAATTCTGGTGCTCTGTTCTGTCCATATCTGTAGGTGCTATCAGTTAGCCAGGTGCAGTTAGACTGTAAAAATTACCCTTGAGATATGTTAATTGATCTCTGTGTCTAGGAACCTAAGGATATGATACATGCTTCTAGTACATGGAAACCAGAGTCAACGTAATATAATGCTGTAATGAAAAAAATCAAATAATTTCCGTTCGGAGTGTGATTCTGTATGTTACTATTTATAACTTGCCCACTGTTAAAATCTGGCTTTCCAGATGCTTTCCCATGCCTTTTGAAAAGAGCTGTGACAGTAAAAAGGTCTTCTCACTCTCTGGTAAGGATAAGCATCAAAAGCAGAAGTCTTGTCAAAATCTAAAACCAACGTGATACTCTCGTGCAAACCCTGCAGAAAAGCAAAAAAACCAAAATCTTACTATGCTTTTGACAATTCATATAGTTACAGTTCTGCTCTGCATTAAACACAACATTTTTCGGTATATGGAAGAGAGAGGAGAGGGAGAGGAGAAAGGGAGGAGACGGAGAAGGACGGAGGAGAGGGAGAGGGAAAGATGGATGGAGAGGGAGAGGAGAGGGTCTTTTGATCCGCGTCAAAAGTCTTTGTCAACACTAGAGAAGAGGGCTTACAATTTTGCCACATTGAATGGATATTCGGATGAACAGATAAATTAGGATGAATTTATTACTGTTTATAAGCTCTCTACTTTTCCAAAGGCAGAAAAGTAATGTGACTGCACAATTGTAATAATCCCACAGCATTCACAGATTTAATCAGCTGTAAAATATTAGTTATATAGTAGATACCTAACACTTCTGTGTGTCATAGGACTTGCTGGCTAAAGACAGATGTCTTCTCTGTGTGTTTTCAATAGATTTCCTCTATTACACCTCCTGAAGTTACTTGAAAGAATTTAATATTCTCACTTCCTCCTAGGTAAATCACTCCTGTGTTTTTCCTCCTGGAGTTTATTGTCTTTTTCTGTATTGTGTTTAGATTGAGGTCAATGTTCTGGTCTCTGTTTCCTCCCCAGCTACCCCAACCCATTGCCTCTCTTCCAGGCAGGAAAACCCAAGTGACGGTCAGCAGCAAAGTGAAGGTCAGAGATTTCCCTGGTTGTCCTTCAACGCCTTCCTACAGCAGCCTGAGTCAGCAGCACTCCTCACAGATCAGATCTGCCTGGTCTCTTGAGGGCACTCAAAGAATAAAACTTCATGACTGATGATCCCTTCATGAGAAATACAGTCATTTCTAGTCCAGTCCTTCACCCTAATGAAATGCTTTTCTTCACAAAGAGTTTAGCGGTTTTCTCTTAAATCTGGTTCACATCCTATCCCACGTAGGAGAGGATATGAACCATCTGAAGTATGTCTGAACAGAAATTTACATCCATTTAACTTCATTTGAATTCCTATTTGGATAGCAAGCAAGTAGAATTTTATGCACTTTTAATAGATGTGGTTTTTTTCGTTTAATGTTTTAGCATATCCTTAAAAATTATGAGTCAATCCATATTTCACAAAAATTTCTGTTGTTCTTAAACACAATTTTTAACTAACACTCCCTCCACAAATAATATTGCTCTGGAAGAGCAAAGATTTCATTTAAAACTGTAAATCTAAACTTTCAAAAACACGTATTGATTCTCATTTCTGATTATCCAACAGAAGTCAATTTACAGCCTTCAAAAAGTGGATATTCAGTATTCTCTGATATCCTATTGAGTTACTGCTGTCAACGGTATATCAGCTTTGACCAACACAGCCGTCTTAGTCCAAAGCCTATCTTGAAGCTTGATGGTTACTCAGTAAAAAATATGAGATACAAATATTGTTCAATTATAAGGGGAAGACTGGCTGACAAGACAAGTAAAATGCAGTTGTGCTGCAAGGGGTAGATAATTCTCATGCAGAGTCAATAGATGGAGAACATGAAGGCCTCTGTAGCTTTTTTCAATTTCCTTGTTTGCTAGCACAAGTTCAGCTGAGACAGACAAAAGCATCATCACTCCAAAGCATCACTTTTTGTTTACAGTAACATGATGTACCCTGGAGCATACAGCCTCATGGTCAAGGCATTACCAAGGACATCAGACACCTGCCTTCAGTTCCCTGGGTCAATGCTGCATGTATCTTCAGTGGGTCTCTCATGTGATGTTATGCCCACCTCTGGTGCAGGGGCCTAGCTCCCAGAGCAGGTTGCACAGTCTCAGCCCAGGTTGCAACCCCTGTGTGATCACAAGGCACATAGGTGCATGGAGATGGGATTCCCAGCAACCAGAGGCTGCTTCAGTTGGTCAAGCTGCCGAAGGAAAGGCTAAATTGACAAGTCTGTAAGGAATTCCTCATTTCTCTACACCACAGCTCTTCTTTAAACTCACTGTTCATCATAAGATTTACTCATCATAGGATTTACTCATTAACCCCTTCTGTATTCACAGGCCTCACTCATCCCTTTGGGTGAGGATGGCTAGATCAAGCTCACTTTTTTGTTCAAAGCAGCCAGTGTTAATATCATCATTTGCCTTAAACTATAGCACAGAGGGCAGAAGACTTTTGCAGGAAAGAGGCAGTCAGAACCTTACACCCATAGCACCCTTAGGGGCCTGAATCCACATATCCCTCACTCAGCAGAAAACCCCAGAGCATTTCCAAGTAAGCTTTGGTTGTTCTTATTTGAGGTGAAGGATACAGCTTTGAATGCTTGTGTGGAAGCTCTGACAAATAGCTCAGTATTGCACCACCATCACTATCCACACTCCTAAATGGAAGCAGCCACAGCTGCTTGTTTTTGTGCTCAAACCACTGATGTCACCACAAACAGACCTACTAAACCCAACTCTTCAGAAGATGTCAAATCAGGGAAGCCCATTTTTTGACTTCTGATGGTGCTTTCACCACCAGGACACTCAGTCTTGCCAAAATGGTATTACTTCTGAATAAAAGCAGTGATACTTAAAAAATTATTCACAAAATTGTGTCTCTGAGCTTTCAGAAACCATGATGTCTGCAAATAGCCTCACAAACTCTCAATCTGAACTGAAATTTAGGCATCTGAGTCTCACTTAAGGGGCTTGAGTCCTCCCTTTATCCAGTACAGGTGGGTATATTTAAGGCTAAGAATTGTACATATCCTGGTAGATTAAGCAACATCAAATATCTTTCCTGTCAAAGTGGTGGGGCAGCCCTGACACAGTTGTAGTCTGGGTCAGCTAGGATTTGGGAGAGTGCCAGATTATGTCTAATTCCTACCCACAGCTCAGAAATTGGTACAGGCCAGAGACTTCTCCCAGAAGTCAATTTGGGGTTTTGGACTGTAGGAGAGTTCAACACTATGGACACAGGTCCTTCCATATTTAGAGCTAAACTCGATAACATGGCAGTGAGGGCCAGGCACAGAAATCCTTTCATGTCTCAGCAACTATATTCCATAGTCCAAGTCAGCAAAGCAGAGAAGAATGTATATATATTACACAAAGAAGGTTTGTCCTTTGTTGAGAAGTTTTTGTTCTTGGAGACAAAAAAAAAAAATCTGCTAATGACAGGACATACCATATTCTTAAGTTGCACTTGTAAAATGGAAACACAGGGTCACAGCTGATAAATAGCCAGAGAGAGCATTCACCAAGCTGATTATAAATATGTGTTCAGATAGCTCAGGGACTCTGAGGATTGAAATCATGAGATACTCTACATGGCAACACAGTTATTTAAATACCTCCTCTTCCACTGGGAGTTCAGCCATTATTCAAAGAGAGGAAGTATATTCCCACCTGAGTGCTCCAGACATGGGACAGTTATGAAAAGCTTTCTGAACAAATGAAGCAAATGTGGTATCCCACAGGGAGACCGAACAACAGCTTCTGTCACAGCCTCAAGACCGACTGTACCTGAATGAACAGAGGCTGGAAGGTAACCAGGTTCATGGGCAGCAGTGTTTGTTGAAGTCTGTCACTCCCTCTCACGGGTTACTTACATAGGTTTAAAACTTTATACAATTGCAATAAATATGGCTAACAGCATGAAAACTATTAGATTAAAATATAAATGGTTGAGGCTATAATGCTATTAAAATGGATGTTCAAGGAAACTGTAACCATTTCTACAGCTGTTTTGGAAAGTCTCTCTTTGGCAAAACACACTGGATTGTCATTCTAAATGTCTGTGCTTCCCATGCTGGTTTCCTGAGGAAGGGTTTGTATATGGACTTGTTTATTTATTACATTTTTTTACCCCTCTTAGCTGTAGCTGTGGATTCCCCAGCCTTTTGAAAATTAGTCATTAGTTGCCTTGTTTGACCAGGAGAAATCTGTAAAGAAACTGGCTCTTATCCAGAGGGTTCCTGGAACTTTCTACCAACCTTGTGTAAGAGCTTAATAAAGTCAAATTTAATTTTATGTAAGATTTGTTACATAGCCATAGGTGTTTTGTGAGAACAGAGAGCAAAAGAACTGAAATTATGTTTACTATTCTGAAGTAAATCATACCAAATGAAGTTCAGATGGAACTTGCTAAGGTGATCAACCTCCCAACTGGAACAAGAGTCATCTAAAATGAGAAGCAAAAGAAATCAGCATCACCTACATCCACATGCCCCGAGGCTATTTTGAAGGCAAATTCCTTGGCTGTGCCAGCCTAAAGTGGCAAAAAACTCCCACAAAAACAATGGACAATCACAGTGTTTATGACCTTCTGTCCCCCTAGTGTTGATCTTTTTTTCTCTGGGAAACAGCAACCTGTTCTTATATGTTTTAAAAACAAACAGTTCATCACAAACGCCTCCCCCTGTGGAGGAAGGCATACAGAGCAAACACCTAACGGATTTTAGTCATGTCATTTAATATGCTGTTAGAAGCAGAACAGATGCTACAGCAAAAAGGGCTTTCTAAAGCCAGCATAACAGTATAAAATGTAGTAAAATAGTAACTCTTCAGAAGACACTTATGCACTTGGCACTGAACATATGAAGCTTAACAAAATACTGCCTTACGTAGACTGCAAGTCCTATTTTTAGAAGTTATGTCCCTGACAACAGTATCCATCATTTTCTGAAGTCTGCAGTCCTGTGTCGATTTTCAGTCACATCTATAATGTCAACAGTCAGTCACCCATAGAGTGCTGCATGCAGCACAACCACCTGAATGCTCTTGTTCTGATCACTGATTATGGAGTTGTCCTGTATCGTTACATACTTGTTGGGTGAGAGCAATGCAAAGTGCTATTTCTCATTTCAGCTGGCTGGAAGGACTTGCCCATTCTTGACAATCAGCTGTTCTGACTAAATTATAACCCCTCCTCATGCTTCAGGATATTATGAGCTATGTAAAGCTTAGAAAAGCACCTACTGCTTGCCCACCTTCTCAAGAAACCGGAACGACAAGCTGACATCAGCCCGACACTTCTTGCTGTGGTATGCTCACGCACTGGTTGATACCAGATTCAATTTAAGATCTTGTTCTTCAGCACAGATCAAGGACTGGGCCTTGTATATCTCATGTACTACCTTGCTTGACAGCTTACCATGACCTAGCATGACAGCTGTGGTCATCGGTAATCACTGCCAAAAGGGAGGATCATAGGAGTGGGTGGAAAGGAAATCAGACATTCCTGGCAGCTGGCCTGCAGCTCTGAAGCTTCCTTTCACCAAACATCAGGCTGAAAACAGATCTCCGCTTGCTGAAGAGAAAAGTATGGGCTTCCACTTTTCAATCACTTTTCCTTAGCGCAACATACAAATGGTTTCCTTTCCCTGAAGAGAAAAGAGAAAAGGCAAAGGGAAAAAAAAAACAGGTGTTCACCCAGCAGAGTGAAAACAAAGGGCCAGAGAAGGCTGTTCCTCCCTGGTTTGTTACTGTCGTTTTTGTTAGCAACAGTAGATTAGGCAGGCAGGGAATGACGGCCCTTGGAAAGCAAAACAGAGAAGTGTTTACCATATAAACAGAGAATTAGAGTTACACAACACAGAAAAGTTTTAACTTGTTTTTTGATGAGCATACTACACAGAAAAGGATACATTACAGCAGAATTTAATATACGCCTTTACTGTTAAATTTTCACAAATTCAGTAAATGCCTACAAGTGCGGTTGCCCTCAAGGGCTCGGCAGAATTGCCTCCACCTCCAAGGAAAAAAACCCCAATTTTTTCCCATAAATAACTCATCTGAACACAAACAAATCCAATGGTGTTTAGTCCAATAAGCACTTCTCTTAGAAATGTGGAAGAGGTTCTGCTTGTTTTGCTAAAATTGTATCTTTTTTAGGGCAGATGGAAGAGAAAGTAAGAAAGAGGAACAACCACTGACAGCAATTGTGAAATAACATGGTCTACAAAACCATTAATTTGAAAACAAGTAAGAAAGATTTAATGGCTATGTCCGCCATGGTAAAACCCCAAAATTCAAGAATTTCCCTGGCTTCTGGGCCTGCCAATAATTTCAGAACAGTATTGTGAAATCCTACAGCTATTTGTTCCAGCTGAGTCTGCTTAATTAAAATTCCTCAGCACTTAGACATATTTCCTTAACAGCAAATGATATAAATAATCACTTCAGGAGACAGCAGAAGATGGGCTCTTTTTTTAAAAAAATATTGTTATTATAAAACTGAAAGACAAAAGCAATAGCAACAGTTCCATAACAGATTTTTGTCAAACCCAAAGCAAGCAAAACCATCTCGAAGTTTCTGAGGCTGTACACACTGACGGTTTAAAAGTCTTTCTCTAATCCCACCGCCACAACTCTTTCAAGTGAACAAACATGCAAAGACATTTCAAGCACTATGGCAATATTGACTTGGAGCATTGTTAACTCCTACCAAAATGCTGTGGGAAGCACAGCAAAATGATAAAAGATTTCATTTATTAATCTGTGATGAAAACCAGGCTTCTGTTGATGGAGGGGGCAGGGGAAAGGGTAAAGATAGGCTGGTCTGTTTAATGCTTGGCCCAGATATAGGTGATTTTTGAAAAAAAAAAAAGCAAGCAGCTGAGCACAGTGCTTTTGGCTGTGTCTTTCTGTAGGTTGCCGGTTGCCAGCACTCACAAAGCAAAAGTTATGTAACGCACTCCTATCAGGAATCAGAGTTCAAAAACATTGCATGAAGTCCCATGTTGCTCCTGACAGAGCAATTGTTTCTGATAATGAAAAGTCTGTATCACCCTGATTCAGCTGTCTTGGCCCTCTCCGATGGCAGCACTTTGTGCTTTCCCTCAATCTCTTCTCCCTTCCTCCCAACGATCTCTGGATTTCTTAAGGAGACTGATCTCTTCCCTAAATGCCTTCACTGGCTTTTGCCAGAAGAAAATAAAAATAAAGGAGGAAACATAGTTTTGCCCCTCCCATATCTCTGAAACAGGCTGTTTTTCCTTGCTTATCATTTGGAAAACCTCATTTCTTTGGTAAGTGCAAAAGAAACACTGCATTTACGATCAAAAGTATATTCATCACAATGCAGTATTGACTGAATAGCTTTTCTGACTTAATTTTTAAAATAAAGACCTAAATTTCTGCAATCTGCCTCCCAGAAATGTATTTACCCCTGATGGAATCATTTGAGGCACTTTTTAGGAAAATTCTGCAATTTTTTGCAGAAGTAATTATTGGATGACTTGTTGAGTGAGGAATTTCATTTGTAGTCACTCTGCCACCTTTATATCATTAAAATCAACCAGACACGTGGATAAGAGCATGTAAGTATTTAAGATGTCTAAATTAGAGTTCATAAAGAGGAATAATGCAGGACAGCTCTTTCAATCTGTATTAATCAGGGGTTTTTTATACCAGTACATAAATGTGAAAATATTAGTCAATATATTTCAGCATGTAAATAACAGCAATCTAATTCCTTGATTAAATCTAAATATGAAAAATAAAAGTTAAGTAAAATTGCAATAAGGGTCAGAATTAGTATAAAGTGCCCATACTATTAACACTATTAAACTGTGCTTTCTTTTAATTCTGTTTTCAGTGTAGTTGCTGATATAGTTAACAGACAGTTTATTCTTTAAGAAAGAGAGAAATTTGATTCATATCATTGTGTCCAAGTAAATACAAAATTTAAGCCAAAATGTGTTTGGGATGTTGAATCCATGACAGTCAGTCAAAGGATTCCCATTTCTTTCAGCAGACTTCAACACAGATACTTGGAGTCAGGATATCTAGGCAAGATATGTTTAATGTTAAAGTAATGATTTATAAGGTACTGGAAAAGTGTACTGATAAAAACCTTCAAAGTACAATTAGATAGATTGACAGATGAAATATCCATATGTAAATCTCAATGTATTTCATCATGTGTGTTGAAATAAAGGAGATGAAACTTGAAAAATATAAAAGTTATTTCTAAAACAGCAATAGAAAGTTTTATTGTTCTTTCAGACACAGTTAATTTTCAAATAACTTCATTATCTTACATTTAAGAATAATTTTTTCTTCAATTATTTTACCTTAAATATCAGGGATTTTGTTTGTTTATTTGTCCATTCTAGTTTCCTTGGGTTAAAATGATAAATCCTAGAAAGAAGGAAACAGAAAATTATGAGGCACCTTTTAAAAAAAAAAATTCAGTCTTCAGTTCTCAGTTAGATAAAGATCAGAAATACTTCTGCTCTATTAATTTGTGGTCTAAGAAGTCTCAAGCCATATATGTGGAGGAAAATTAATCTTTGTTTCAATAAAAAGAGCATTTAAAGTTACTAATATTAAACATCAATGGGTAAATAATAAGATTCTTTTCACTTTAGCAACTCCAAACATTAGTTAATTCTTGCAGTGAAGCTAACGGATTCATTCATATTACTCTGAAGCACAGAAATGTTGACCATGTTCCCAAGTCAGTGAGAGAATCAGCTGCAGAACTCAAGTGCTACAGGTTCAAGATCCTAGTTATAAGAAATACCTTAAATTTGAATAAAACACAGCAAGAACTGCCCATCATGACTCAGACCTCAAATCCTACAACCACTTCAAAAACCTCATGAGTCCTGCTTCCATGAGTTCCCAGTGAAACCCAGGCTATATTGCTTAACTGACTGTAGGCCACAAAGCTACACAAGACCTGCCTCAGTTTTTATAACTAGAATAAATAGGGCTAATGGTACCAACCTCTTTTTAAAATGCTTTGCATTTTTTCAGAAAAAGACAGCACAGAGTTATACCGATGTTGGACCTATGCCTACAGAAATCAAACATAGCTCACAGATTCAAGCACGGTTCGTAGACTATGTCATTCCAATCTAGAGCTCTGAGAAAAATGAACAGAAAACATGGCGTCAGCTTGCAACGTCATGAAAAAAAATTGTGAATGAAACATGTAAAGGAGCAGCTGCATAAGCAAAGAATAGAAATCCTGATTTGTGTAGCTTACAGTCATTGAATGTCACACCATAACCAAAATAAAATATTTATTGCTACAAGGTGTTATATAATTTGGTTTCTTTTCTCCCTCCAGCATATTAAACTTCGAATGTCTCATTTATGTTATACATGCTTTGCAAAATAAGGTCAATTGCCTATGAATCTACATAAAACAGCAATTTGCTAAAGATTTTGTTGGCTTTGCAAAGCAAAAGAAAACACATAAACAATGAGTTACTGCATATGAATTAAAACTCAAATTCTTCAAGTCCTAAATACAAATTCTGGAGTACGTTTTGAACAAATTGTTGATTAGCTGTAAGAGTTATAGCACAATGTTAGATAATATTGAAAACTTGCATGGTAAGCTGAAATTAGCCTGAATTTAAACAAAACTTATAATAATGTACCTGGGCCTAGTGATATTGACACTACTACCAAACAGAAGTCATGTCAATATTGATCTGAAGTGAGAAGAGAATGAGACCATTCGTGGTTTGAAAATATTGCTATGGAAAATGGAAATTAACGAACTTTAGTGTTCACTTGAGTAAGAAAGTAAGTTATGATCATATAAACTAGGGTGAAAAAAAAAAAACCAGTTCTGAAATGAACCCTTTGCAATAAACCACTTTCTGATTGATACCATTGACTTCAGCAGCAGTTATAGAGGCAGAGAAACCTGGACACTTTTCAAAATCATTACTGAAGAAAGATAAATTATTACAGTATCTAATCTTCAAAACACGACTACGACATGTTCATAAGGTCTAACCTCAATTTCAGAAAACACAGACTATTTGTCTTACAGCCAAAATAGACAATGGATCTCGGAAAGCTGGATGACCTGTGGAAAGCACTGTAGCAGAAATAGCTACTTTCACCAGTTTGCTCCACTCCGTTTCTCAGCACCATCAGTTAAGGATTGCTGCAAGGATTTTCATCAGAACAGAGTACAGCAAACTCTCATTCCCTGGTAAAGTGTCAGTCCTGCTTTCTGAAACAGAAGATGTTTCCTAAAATGCCTTCCAAACTGAAGCTTCTGCACACTCAGAAAGTAGCAGTACAAGAACTATCACAAGGTTTGCAGCCCTATTTACATTCCAAGCCAATCACAATAATTTTGTGCAACTAGCCAATGAGGTATAAGGTAAAATTGTGTTCATACTTACATTGAATAGAAAATACTGCTTTTTCATTCAGTACCATAGTTTTAATTAATTTCTTCTACATTCCACAGAAATATGTGCTAAAAAGCATGTTGGTGGTGCATGTCAATTCTCACTCTTACTCTCTTTGACTCTCACTCCATTTCAGAGTAGTAGAAGGTATTTGAAGTGTTGAGTTGATATTTGTTTGAATGCTATGGCTGTCTTTGTTGGCAAGATTCATCCCATCTGCTTTTACCTATGTAAAAGTTGGGTATCACCTCTAAACCTCATCTAGGATTCCTGCACCCTATTCATCAGAAAAGTATTAGGGTCTACCAGAGAGTAATCATCTCATCCTTATTTTAGGCAGTTTATGTAGTTCAGATGAATCACTCTCTGGATACAGGCCTATTTCTATTAATGAAAAAAGAAAACAGAAGAGCAAATTGCTCATGTGCATCTAAAGTCACATTTAGACCATTAAATGTAGGTGAAATGCATTTCACCTTTACTGATTGGCATCTGCTTAGGACTGGACTATCTAAGACTTACATCATGGACCTTCCTAGGCCTTGGTGAGAAAACCCACACTAAATCTCCACCCATTAGTGAGCAAAAAACTTAAGGATGCCAGCAACTTTTATTAAAAACAATAACTACACCAGTCCCTATGGCATAGTGATTCATGAAATTACTTTGTTTATAGCATCTCAAATAAAGGAAATTCTGTAGTCTCCAATATAGACACTGAAGTGCAATATTATAAAAGTTTATAAGATTTCAAATGGTTAATAATAAACAGGACAAAAAAACCCCATGTCCATATGCTGGCAGAACAACGCCTCATGAATCATGCACCTACTGTGAACAAATATTTGTTGGAGGGCTTCACTGGGTTTTTTTGATGTGTCATACTGCATTCATAGGAAGACATCTGAGAAGAGAGGATGAGCAATGAAATAACAAATGTTTGGGGTTATAGTAATAGCCATTTTTAAACTTTTGGCTGGATCTTCTCCAAGACTTTCCACTAGTACTCCTAGATACAAAAACATCAGTCCCATCACAGAGGCCCCCCCGCAAAAAAATAAGAGAATGAGCTCAAAGCAGGATATTTATGCATCCCAATAAACTGTCAATTTAAGCTAATGATGTAGTTTACAAATGCATAGTAGTCTCAACACATGACAGAGAATTTTATGGCTAGTATCAGCCTCACTAATTGTGTTCCTATATAATCTAATGATCTTGTGATCAGCACAGGAAAGACGCAGGCACTGTCAGATGAAAGACTTGGGGCAAATATCTGACTGTTGACCAAAATCTCTCCCTCCTTCTTCCCTCCCCATAGCATCCAAACTACTCTAACTCTCTGCAATGCGGGTATGTGTTCTAAAAAAACCTGACAGAAATGAAACATCTATCTCAGATGATGGACACACCAGATCTCCCAAATCCTTTTTTTGCCCCCTCCGTTCCATGTTACTCTAGGCAGCAAAATGCTACAGAAGACACACAAGCTTTTTTATAAAAATTAAATAAAATTTAAAATACCTTATGTATTTAAAATACTTAATGAAAACAATAAAACATAAAAATAACTTTTGACACAATGATGCTGTAAATATTGTTTCAACTTGGTCTGAAAAGGCTGGAAACATTATAAGAAAATCATCAGTAGTGAAATTTTTTGCTTAACACCACGTCTGAAACAGAAATGGTGGTTATAACAATGGGAATCCGGGGAAGAAAAGGCTATTGCATATATGGTCTGAGAAGACTGTGTACACCCAACACTAGGAAAGGATCTTTCTCTTGTGATTCTTGCAGGCCCTTCCTCACTGTGTTCCTCTCCAAACACAGCTGCCTGTAAAGCCAATGACCAGGCAAGGTATTGCAGGGAAATGGAGAGGGCAGCACAAAGCTCAATTAGAGTACATTTTGAGTAAAAGTTATTTTATCTTCAAGATGGAGAAATGAAACAGTCCACTGGTTGAGAAAATCATGAATACCGAAGAAAGCTCTTCGGTTAAGACAAAGGCTACAGATTCCATGCTGGTGGTGTGGACTCTGTGCCTTCCAGGATGCACCTCCACTGAGGTACCCAGTTCTGGCAACCAGTGGATAGGTACATTGAGCAGCATGGTTTGAATCACTTTACTAGGTATTTTGCTAAACCCTCACTGAAAGCACAAAAAGAAAGACAGCTGAATTGGTTCTGTGTTATAGTTCTTCCTAAAGGATGTGGGAGAAGTGAAAACTTATGCTTTCCACAGACATAACTGAACAAAAAGGAGGCATGGCCACTAGAAGACTACAAAAACAGTTGAATTCATCTGGAAGAAAACATCCTCACGTATGTCCACAATGAGATTGAAAACTCAAGAAATGAAGAACAAAGGGCATCTATGAGGGATTGCAGACAGTCAATAAGCAACATCTTGCAACACAGCTGCAAAGATCAATACAAATTTGCGTTGCATGCACATACACATCTGGAGATAGTGCAGACTGTACATTTTAATAGCTTATACAGTTCCCATATGATCCTACATGGAATACTACAGTCAGTTGAGCATCAGATTACCAGAACCATATGATGAAAACTAGGGAAGTTTCTGAGGTGAGAAATGCTTTGTAGTAGATTACTATTTAATTTTCTGTATAAACTCATTTATAACATATTTAAGAGCTTTCAGAGAAAGGACTGTAAAGAGCAGTCTAGTAGTATTTGCGATGTAAACACCAGAATATGGGGAACAAATGAAGAATGAAGGGAACAAATTAGAACCATAGGCATTGAAAAATTATGCATGTATTAAGAAAAAAACCTGTTGAACAAAAAGTATCAGGCTTTGGAATAATGTCTTAGAAAATACAAGGGAATCTTCATAGCATGAAAACCCAACTAGAAGAACATAAGACCAGATGGCTCAAATAGGCCATTTCAAAATTACACCTTTCAGACCTTACCCTGTCCTAGTTTTCTAACTATTAATTGGAATG